CAACCTCACTACCGCCGACACACTTGACACCATCAATGATGCCACCTGGCTGATCCATCTCGTTGGGGGTCTTCCTCTTTTTCTCCAACCCTCCATCTTACCCAGCATGACATCCTTTTCCAGTGACTGTTCCCTCCTGACAACATGTCCTAAGTATGAGAGACGAAGTTTAGCCATCTTGGCCTCCAAGGAGCACTCTGGCTGCACTTCTTCCAAAACAGATCTATTGGTTCTTTTGGCAGTCCATGGCACTTTTAGCATTCACCTCCAACCCCACAATTCAAAGGCATCAATTCTTCTATGATCTTCCTTATTCACTGTCCAGCTTTCACATCCATATGAGGTTATTGAAAATACCAAGGCTTGGGTCAGGCACACCTTAGTCCTCAAGATGCTCATATTAAATCTAAAAACAAAAACAAAAAAAAAACTATATAGTTTTAAATCAATCAAACATTCCTTTGCCCTGTTCTTGCCACTCATATTTTTTAAGCAAAAAATTATGAGACTATGTATCTGAACGGTCCCATGTTCTCCAGCCTTCAGAGGTTCTTCTTTCCCTGAGTAATTAAGTTATAATAGTCTAACATCCATTCTGAATACCTGCAAGAGCTCCAGTTATCTCCTCAATAATTTCTGAGGGACTTTTACATATTTTTATTTTCTGATTTTCATTTTTGTTCCATACTAATATTGCTGTAGAGTTTTTCAACATTCATCTGGGGTAATCATTTTTTAATAATTTATTTAATTTACTTTGTTGTTGTTGTTGAGAATGTGCACAGCAAAACATAGGCCAATTCCACAGTTTCCACATGTACATTTCATTGACATTGATCACATTCTTTAAATTGTACAACCATTCTCACCCTGCTTTTGTCAGTTACTCCTCCCTCATTAACATAAACTCACCATCCCCAAAGGCTTCTATCTAATCTTTCAAGCTGCTGTTGTCAATGTGATCCCCTATGGAAACTTCTTAAAAGAGCATAATGCTTGAGGCAGACATTTTTTACTACTTAAGCTAAACTATTTCTGGTTTTCAGAAGACTTCAGGGGATATTTATGGTTTAAACTTTAAAGATTATCTTAAGGCAATGCTTTTAGGAGTTCTTCATACAACCTCTGTGAATCCAGGAAGTCTGTAGTCCATGAGAATTTTGATTATTTTCTGCATTTTCCCCATTTTGATTAGCAATACTCTATAGAATCTTTTATAAAAATTGTCAGTAATGCTATTTGGGTATCATCCAGTTAGTTATTCTGGTCTCTTCATAAAGGAGGCAGCTGACCATGGAGGCAAGTAGACACATATTTCATTTCTTCCTTCTATTCCTGACCTTCCTTCTTGTTCTGTTACTCCAGGTGAATAGAGGACAATTGTTTTGTCTCCTAGAAGGATTCTTGAAAGAGTTGAAGAAACTAGGCACTACACAATAAACTAGGAAGTAGAACTGAAGCACTAAACACATTGTTGGGCCAATTAACTGGGCTTTACCATAAAAGCAAGACCCAGCTGGTAGCGTAGTGGTTATGAATCTGGCTGCTAACCTCAGGGTCATCAGTTTGAAACTACCAGCTGTTCCACAGGAGAAAGATGAGGCTTTCTGCTTCCATAAAGATTTACAGCCTCAGAAACCCTGTACTAGGTAGCTATGAGTTGGAACCGAATCCATGGCACATAACAACAACAACAACAATTCCTCTAAGCCAAAAGAACCATCTTCCACGACGTGTTTAATTGTACATAAGCATCTATGTCTTTTTTTCTTTCTTTCTTTCTTTTTCTTTTTTGCCATTGTTTTATTTCGCTGATTCAGCTTTTTATAGATGGATGTACTACTTGTTGAAGGAAGTCCTGATGTAGGACAAGCACTGGACTGCTAACCACTAGGTCAGCAGTTCAA